TGTGTGTATGTGTTGTCTGTGTGTATGTGTGTGTATATAGCTGTATGTGTGTGTTGTCTGTGTGTTTGGGTGTGTATTTGTACTTTCTTATAGTGGGGTGGGGGCGGGGTGCGGTGGTCCAGTTAGGGTTGAAAAGTCTTATTAAGACAAAATGAAGCAGGTTAAAAGTAAGAGACCAGAGCCTCTGGTTTTTTTACATTCCTCAGACATAATATTATAGAGAGCATGTTGGCTCCCAGTAGAGACCTCGAGAAAAAAAAAAAGCTTTGGTTATGTACTGAGCCCTTATGCAGGGAAATGCTTAGTGGGTAAAAGTAACGCTGCGACCTCCCTTCCCATTTCTAACAGGTGTAACTTAGTACACAGATCCAGGGTCATCGCAAGGGTCACAGTGAAGTTGCAGCTATGACAAAGAGGAACAAGAGACAGCAGACTGTCGCCGGATGCGCAAAGCGTGGGGTTATACTTTACTTTCACCAATCCCTTCCCTGATCTTTACATTACCCGTAAAATGTTTTGAGAGACAGCTAACAAGGTCCCAAAATGAGGGCGAATCAACTCAAACTAGTGGATAATCGGACACAGCTCTCGATAGATAGATGGATAGATATATGGATGTATAGACAGAATGATAGATAGTTGGTTGGATAGATAGATGGGCCGATGTGTATGGATGGATCGATAGATGGATGGATGGATGGATAGATAGATATTGCGACAATATAATAACTTAATCGGTCAATGTTGCTGAATAGATCTAGATCATATGCCTATAATAATACTTGGCACGTCAAATGTCTTGTACATTGTATCATGTGAACAAATGTTTGTTTGTTTTACTGCCTCTCAAATAGATAACACATTCACAAGCCTACGCGCTATTACAAGATAAGTCATATGGACAGAAAATTTGCAATTCTTGCCTTAGAATTACAAACTTCTATCTGTTCAATACCTAATTTTAAGAAATTTGAACTAAAAATGTTTGAAATTCACAACGGACCAAATATAACCAACTTCAGCCTTAGCCTTGGCCCAGTTTTTTTTTTTAAAAAGTTTAGTAACCTACAGATGTATCAAAACTCTTAAATCGCACACAAAATTCGGTGTTTTTATTGTCTTGGATAGTAGGCCTACTGTACTCAGACCTAAACGCCTTGCACGAGTGTGATTTCATGTGGCGTGTTATACCAGGTGCCCGCTGTGGATCGGATCAGACCTGGTTGGGTTGATTATCGAATAGGCCCCTCCCTTGTCTCAATTTTTTGACAAGAATTGAAAACTTTGGCTGGCGCACGGAGTTATCGTACACAAAAGTGTTACTGTTCACAACACAGCCATTTCCTCCCATAACCGTACGGCTTCAAATGCCGGTTGCTGTGCCTATCGCGGTTGCTGTATTGAGAGGTTCTTGAATCCTACAGACATGGGAAATGTCAATAGCTTTCTAGATCTATCAGTCTCCAAATCTACCTTTTCCATCACCGTATTCCTCACACACGTTGAACACATCCTGTCGCTCGACTCACGACCTTGAAAAGCAGACGCGTTTGTTTTTGAAAGTCACGCTTGGATTGGGTCGAATTGTGCCATGATGGTAGCTTCTGCTCCTCCGTAGAGAAAACTCTGGCTGGCCTCGACTCAGTTCGACTCAGCTCGACTGAATTCGATTAGTGTGCACTGGGCATGAGAGCCTTCTATGGATGAGGCACAATGATAATAAAATATTATTATAATATCAAAAGGCGTTCAGTGAGAGAGGCGAAATCTGTTCTTAAAAACTCTCAAAAGAGTTTTGCTACGTCAATTTCGTAAGAGCCACACCTCTCTAGCTCCGGAAATGACTTTCATAAAGGAGAAGTCGCTCCTTAGGGCGAACCTATTTGTAAATATTTAAGCCTCAATTAACGCACTTTAGATTACAAGTGATCAACAGAGATAAATTTTCTGACTTTGTCTTTATAGTCCCATCAATAGTTTGAGAACATGCAAAGCTTTTAGGGTTAGTTGTAAGGAACTATTGCCATACTTTTATAATACAAAGAGACGTTTGTGTCCACCATTTGGCAGGGTTTCTTAATCATGTACCCCTGTTTCAATTCCCTACCAACACAAACTCAGTTTTGTACGACAACCCTTTCATATTTTGTGTGTGTGTGGGCGTGTGTGTGTATGTGTGGGTGGGTGTGGGGGGCTGTGGGTGTGTGTGGGTGTGGGGTGTGTGTGTGTGTGTGTGTGTGTGTGTGTGTGTGTGTGTGTGTGTGTGTGTGTGTGTGCGCGAACGCACGTGTGTGGATATATTAAAATAATATTTCTACGCATGCAAGATATTTGTTTGTATATATATGTGTTTCTGTGTGTGTCTCTGCGTGTGTTTTTGTGTGTATCTGTATATGCGCGCACGAGTGTGTGTGCGTGTGTGTATGTCTGCGTGTCTGTGTGTCTGCATTATAAGTATAATATGCACGTGGACGGATGGGGTGAGGCGGGCCATGGTGCACGTTGGCACATGGCGTGTGGGTGGTGAGAGAGAAAGAAAGAGAAAGAGAGTGGAGACATGAGAGAGATTAAGAACAATGTGGTGTGAAGATCCTTTTGATCTCATTACGCAGGTAATGAAATATCTTTGCTATTTTGGTTTAGAAAACTGTATTGTCATTGTATGGGTTTAATACGTGCTTCAACGCTACAAATTTTT